AAATTGAAAGATATCACTGATCAGTGTTTGTTGATTACTGATATTTTTGTTGTTGTGGTGTGTATGTGTGTGTGTTTATACTATTTTGATTTGCCTGTCTCTGATTATTTATTCCCTGTGTTTTCTTGGGTGCATTTCACCTCTTTAGATTGGAGGATTCCTTCTAGCACCTTCTATAGGGCTGGAATGGTAGATATATATTGGTAAAATTTGGTTTTATCATGGAATGTCTTATCATCTCCATATATTATAATTGAAAGTTTTGTTGGGTATAGTAGCACAGACTGTCATATGTGGTCTCTTAGAGTTTGTAGAACATCTGTCTAGGCCCTTCTAGCTTTAGAGTTTCCATTCAGAAGTCAGATTCTTTTATATGTTAGTTGGTCTTTTTCCATTGCAGCTTTTAATATTCTTTCTGTGATCTGTATTTTTAGTGTTTTGTTTATTATATGCCAAGTGACTTTCTTTTCTGGTTCAGTCTATTTGGTGTTCTGCATGTTTCTTGTACCTTGACAGGCATCTCCTCCTTTAGGTCAGGGAAATTTTCTTTCTTTTATTTTTTTCTTGGTTTTTCGATACACAGTTTCTCTGTGGTTTTGGAGGCTGTCCTGGAACTAGCTCTTGTAGACCAGGCTGGTCTCAAACTCACAGAGATCCACCTGCCTCTGCCTCCCAAGTGCTGGGATTAAAGGCCTGAGTCACCACCACCTGGCTGGAAATTTTCTTATATTATTTTGTTGAAAATGTTTTCTCTCCCTTGACCTGGGTTTTGTCTCCTTCCTCTAGTCCTACTATCCTCAGATTTGGTCTTTTCTTAGTGTCCCAGATTTCATGTGTGTTTTGTACCAGGAGGGAGTTTTTAGATTTAATATTTGTTTGACTGAGGTATCCATTTCTTCTGTTGTGTCTTCAATGCCTGAGATTCTCTCTTCCATCTTTTGTATTCTGTTAGTGAAGCTTGTCTCTGTGGTTCCTGTTCAATTCTTAAGTTTTTCAATTCCAGAGTTCCCTCAGTTTGGGTTTTCTTTATTGACTGATTTCCACTTTGAAGTTTTGAACAGTTTTATTATTTTTGTTCTGCTGTTTGTGTTTTCATGGATTTCTTTAAGGTATTTATTCACTTCCTCCTTAAGGAGCTCCATCATATCTGTAATGGATGTGTTAAATTCCTTGTATTATGCTTCAGCTATTTTGCATCTACCAAGGCCTACTGTAGTAGTTCTTGTGTTCCATTGGGAACATATTTTCCTGGCTGTAGTTAATTGTGTTTTTATGCTGGCAGATAGGCACCTGCAATTGGGAAGGTTGTAATTTTGGGTGCAGATATCTCTGTAGTCTGATGGAGATGGGAGCAGAGAAGAGTGGGGGTGCAGCAGATATCTTGCTCCATCCTGGGAGTTGGATTCAGAGGGAAAAGAGAGGTGAAGATCTGAAGTTAGCTTACCTATTTCCCTGACTGGTATGGCCAGCATGTTCCCAGGGAATGTCTGCTTGTGTGGGGGGCTGGGACAATAGGATGAGTGGGAGGAAGGAAGGTTGGAGAAGGTCTCCATGACCTGTTGGAGATGGGAATCAGAGAGGAAGGAGAGACTGCAGCAGGTGTTCTGCTACAGAGCTTTGGATGAAACTGTTAAGGGCATTTTAAAGAGATGTCTATATTGAAGAGGCATGGAGAGAGTGGACAGCCTTGTCTTGTCCCCAATTTTAGAGGAATTGTGTTGAGTTTCTCTCCATTTAATTTGATGTTGGCTGTTGGCTTGATGTACATTGCTTTTATTATGTTAGAGCAATAAGACAACAAAAGGAGATCAAAGGGATACAAAAATGGAAAGGAAGAAGCCAAACTCTCACTATTTGCAGATGATATGATAGTTTTCATAAGTGACCTGAAAAAACTCTACCAGGGAACTCTTACAGCTGATAAACACCTTCAGCAAAGTGGTAGGATACAAGATTAACTAAAAAAAAATCAGTAGCCGTATTATATATAGATGATATGTTCTTGGAGAAAGAAATCAGAGAAACATCACCCTTTACAATTGCCACAAAAAGCATTAAATACCTTGGGGTAACACTAATCAAAAAAGGGAAAGACCTGTACCATAAGAATTTTGACTCTCTAAAGAAAGAAATTAAAGAAGATACCAGAAAATGGAATGATCTCCCATGCTTTTGGATAGGTAGGATCAACATAGTAAAAATGGCAATCTTGCCAAAAGCAATCTACAGATTCAATGCAATCCCATCAGAATCCCAGCACAATTCTTCACATACCTAGAAAGATCAATTCTCAACTTTATATGGAAAAACAAAACACCCAGGATAGCCCAAACAACCCTGTACAACAAAGGAACTTCTGGAGGCATCACCA